CAGCAGGAACATGTAGTGGTATACATTCCAGTATTCACAAAAATCATCTCAATACAGTAAAAGTATATTCATTTTCAGAAATAAGAATAATGGAGAAATATGCAGTTTAAGCTTACTTTTTAGGTACTCTCTTACATGTCTTTGTTGCATTATATTACAGTAAAAAATTATAAATATACTGAGAAGTCAAATATGTAATTTTCCTCTTTTTCCTTTCTTGAGGGTGTTTTGTTGTGTGTTGTTTGGTAGTTTATTTTGTGTTTGTTTGGGTTTGGTTTTGTTGTTTTGGGGTTTTTGTGGGGGGAGGCAGGTAGTGTTAATAAAAACCCCAAAACTATCTGTTTCACTTAATAATTCTAATCTCATGCCTTTGGACTTTTCCAAGGTCCATTAAAAAAAACCAGTTTACTCAAGACATAACATTCTCAAAATTTACACCATCTCACAGTAAAGGGGACAGAGAGAGAGATGGATTTCCCTAGTAGTTAATTTAAAATGTGTATTTAAATTCCTTCAGAGATGGACTATAAAACTGTGATAATCCAGCATTTACAGGAAAATTTAAATTAATGGCTTATAAAGTATTACATATCCATTCGTCAAACTTTTACAGTTTTCAAATAACTTATAGCTTTTCTCAGCATAGAAAACACACAGAAAGAAATACTTATGTAGAGATAAATGTGAGTTATTTCTACTAATAGGCTGACAGATTGATTTATACATCAGCTTAACTATGAAGCAAAGCAGCTCTTGTATTTATTTACTTAAATTTTACATGCTTTCTAAAAATCTGCAGACTTCTTATAAACAAACTGCCCATGCAAACCAGCTGCTCTGTGGGCCAAACTCCGTGTCTGCCGACCACTCACTTCAAAGGTGCATCTCTAGGGAAAAATGCAGCCCATGCTACAACATGGATTCGCTCACATGAGGGCAGGTCAGGAGCAGAGGTCAAGGTGTGTTCCAAAAATACTCTGTCCACTCATAGCATTGCCCTTTAGTCAGCCTTTTCCTGTTACTTACATGTGCCTGCTGCTGTGAGCATCTCTGCTCCATCAACTGAGCTCCACGGCCCTCTTCAAAGAGCTGTGAGCTCTGGAGTAACAGACCTCCTCATTAATGATCACAGTTGGTCATTAGCTGGTTGCTGAATCTTTCTTGATGACCTGCTAATGAATTTCTTATTGTGGAGATTGGTCAAGGTAGACATTATAGGTAATTCATAGCTGAACACCTGGCGCACTACTGTTAATATAGACAATACTCCTAAGAGGCATTACTTCCTTCCTAATGTATATCTCAGGTGTAGATATTTCATGTTGAATGGAAACTTTGGCTTCAGTGTTTAAAAATATGTTTATATACTTTATTTAGTGGGGAAACTTCTTTAAGAATTTAGTGAGGAAAAACCTTACTCTTACAAATTCTTTATTTCTGTTAGTTTTGCCCTTAACAAAACATGTTTAATTGGAAGAAAATAAACCCATGCACATTAATATTCACCTTCACCTGTAAAAGGCTCAGAGGCCTGCACAGTGCAAAAATCATCTCTCAGTAGGTGCCTGTTAGCTGCAGGAGCCTGGAGAGCTTGGATGGTTCAGCACCTGTGGTGCCTAATCTCTGAATCATGGATAAGTTGGACAGAAGATACAGTCCCTCCATCTGCAGTGTTGTCAGTTCGTAAAAGGTAAAAAGTTTCAGCTGGACCTTGACTTGGTGGGAATGCTCTAGAAAAGACCAAGTGGCTGTAATGCATTAGGTAAGACTCATCCCTCTGTGACTGGTAGCTAATGCCATAGGGGTTATCCAATTACTGCAGGAGCTGCTTTTCTTTAAAGGTGCAGGTGTCTTCTGTTTCAGCAGTGATCAGAGCCCACCAATGCTGTGGTTACTCACAGGCATTTCACAGTCCTGAACATGCGCTAGGGTGGATGACTCTGGCCAAGATATTCTTAATTCTTTAAAATTTTGTATTTTAATTTCCACAGGTTCATGCATTGTAATTATAATACAAAACAAATCGACCAGCCAAACAAAACCTCAAAAATCCTTGTTTATATCTGCTATGCAACTGCTGTAAGAAACTGGGTTTTCATCTCTTAAAATGTCCTGGGCATAACCAGGAAGTTTATCATGTTCCATTACAGGTTTTCATACACTTGACCCACATTATGTTGTGTCCCAATGCTCATCTCATTTGCTGCAAATGGCTTCAAGACTGCAAAAAATCTTTTCCTCCAGTGCTTCCAAAAGACACTTCTTGGGCTGTGTAGCAACTGAGTTGCATTTCCAGAAGGATGTCCTAACCATTGCTGTCCAGGGTGAAGAAACAGGAGCTATGGTTGTCTTTAGGAAGACAGTCTTTTGCCCTTCCACTGAAGCTCTTCATCTCATATTTGGTAACTTTGCTCTAAATGAGATGAGATGAGATTATCAAAATGTCTCATTGGTCAGAGTTTTGATTTCATACTATTTGGTTATGAATGAGACTCTTCTCTCCATCCTAGTCTCAAATACTGAGATATTCCTGTCTCCTTAGCAGGCATTGCTGACAAAAGGTATGACACTAAAGAAAAGTTCATTAAATGTCTAAAAGCAACTCAATTCCTAAACAGCTTGTGAAAGCAACATAGATATACTTGCCTTGATATTGCACATTTTGATTATAAATATTTGATTCTTCACTTTTATGGTGTGGATATTAGAATTCAAGCCATGTAGAGGAGTCTGATGCTTTTACAGGAAAGCATAAATCACTTCAGATAAATAAGACATTTCACAGATTCACAGAATTTGTTTAAACAGCATCCTGCACTTGTTTCCAAAGTAAGATATTAAAATATTAATGTCATATGTTTGAGAAGTACCAGGTGCTGACCCAAAGCAGTGTATTTTTAGGGAATTTCACTGAACCCAGATGGGCTACTCATGGCATCTCACTACAGAATGAAGTAGTTTTAAAAATGCATTTTTTTTTTTTGTTTTGGTTTTGGTCTGGGGTGTGTTTGTTTGTTTTCCTGGGAGCTTTGGTCAATTAGCTTTAAAATTCCTGTGCAATAATTAACTAAGGAAATACACATAGCAGTATAGAAAAATTGTTGCATGTGTAGACAAACATCTTTACAGTAGATGTAAAGATGAATGGAAGAACTTTAACTGTGTGGCTGTCCTCAAGTTTTATCTGACCTTACCAACACAAAAAAAAAGCGTGTGAAATACCATTTTGATCCCTTTACATGCTTTAGCTGCAACTTCAAAGCCAAGTGGCATTAACAGAATGTAAGACTACAGAATGAAAATAAATTAAAATGGAGGCACATTGTTTTTTTTTTACTTTTCACTACAGTGATTAAATAAGTAATGCTGCAAATATAGAATTTCTGCTTCTTGCTGCATGTACCTAATGGTTATTCCCATTTGTGGAAAAAGATGTGTCCTACAACGTACAGAAGGAGTTCACGTGTTCTTTTTTCAAGTTTCGGTGTTCAATATTTTCCTGCTAAGATAACTGAGCAATGAGCACACACCTTTCTATTGGTTGTTCCTTGGAAATGGTACCCTGAAGAAGTCTACTGGCTTCTTTGCAGAAACCGTTGCAAAGTTGAAGTAACACAGCTGTGATTCCGTGTTTATTTTGCCTAAAACCACACAAAAACCAGTCTTTCATTTCCTTAACAAACATATAAAACCTGGTGAAAAAATACAAAATTGAATCCTGTTATTAAGTAATATAGAATTCAAATTTTCTTCTATTTCTTTTCAAAAAATATATTGAACACTAGTGGAAGGCAAGTAGATAATTTTGTCTGTTTTCAACAGCAACTGGAAACTGAGGATCTCTACAGATATATTTTCTTCTTTTAAATCAACAAAAGCAACTGATTTAAAAAAATGAACTTTTTTTTTTTCAAATTTTGAAATAACATATTTTCTTACATTCTTTGCAACAGGTGGTTCTGCTAATCTAACCTGCAGAGCTTTCTTTGGGTATAGTGGAGATGTCAGTCCTTTAATCTACTGGATGAAAGGGGAGAAGTTTATTGAAGATTTGGATGATAGTCGAGTCTGGGAAAGTGACATGAGGTAAAAGAAAAAGCATTTTGTTTTTTCAGCCAACTGTGTGGGTTTTTTTGATAGTTCACATAATACTTCTTATCACAGATTAATTCAGAAATATTTCAGGTCTGATCCCTGGTTTTGCAACATCCGGTTTGTACCTTTTCAACTCCACCAGTAAAGAACAGAAAAATGCATGCCTCAGACAAATCTGATGTTAGAGAGCTGCAAAGGCAGAGTGGCTGCCCAACAAGTACTGTAGTGTAGTGTTAACCAACGGGAATTTGCTTAGTGACTTTTTCAAACTGTGGCAATCTACAATAACAATCATTAAGACAGTTTCCAAGATGAAGGAAAGTAAATACATGAAGAAAAATCTCAAAGGAAGTTTTTTAAAGCATAGAGTCTTAAATAAATGCTGAAGTGGGCTTCTCTTTTGTAGTGTTTTGCTTTCTTTACTTCAAGGAAAAAAAACCTGAGTTTCCTGGGATGTTATCTGGCCTGTGAGAGCCAAGCATCCTGTTATGTGGGCTTCTTATATCTGCTAAAATACTTATTTTAGAAAGGATCTGGCAGTTTGCATTATGTACTTTTGCTGCTCCTAAAAGTGCTGTCTCGTTTTGAAATTAAGAAAAAAATGAATTTGTATTGAGAATTACATGCTCAATGTAGTATCAACTATCCAATATGAAGTACCTACTTGGATTTCAAGAGATTCCTTTTTGATTTATAATTCTGTATGTGTGTATATCACCCTGCCTATACATTATGGATAAACCCAGAAAAGAAGGCAAATCTACATGTGCGTTACGAAGGAAGATATATAATCACACGTTATCTACAATGATTGTCTGTAACAGAACAAAAAGAGCTTATTTACACTTCACCACTTACATAGAAGTTTAGTATCTTATCAAAAGACATGAAATCACACTCATTTTTAGCTTAACCTTGGACTTCTTCGGTGCAAACAAATTTAGAGACAATTCCTCTAACAAAATCAAGAAGCCCGAACAGATACCCAAGGTCATCTCCATGTCCCTGGATATAGCAAAATGGAAGCTGTACACCCCAGTGTACTTGAAGTTTGCTCCGTAAAGCTCAAGACCAATATATTAAATAGCATGACAACCAAATCAGCTGTATTTCACAAGTAAAGCTTTTCCTAAGCACTTCAGCCAGAGACTTGGCATTCTGAAGACTGATAGAGACCTGACAAGAACCTTGTTACAACTCCCTTGTTTTGTAGAGGGAGGAGAAGGAAGGTTGACTTCCATTTATTTTGTCAGGTGTGATATGTGAAAGCAGCCTAGAGTGGTTTGTTGTTTGCTTTCCTGGGTTTCTAAAACCACTGATGGGCTTGCTAAGCGGTAGAGAAAGCAACGTGAAGACTGGTGGAGACCTATGTGGGAGGTCTTGATTTTATTTCTCCTCTATATGAATGAGTGGTGTCTTTTCTTTCTTCTGATTTATAATATGCAGAAAAAAAATATAAATATTCAAGAAATAAAAAGACTTTGCATTAATACACTGTTTCTGAGTGTCATTTTGAAGACCCTCAGAAAGTTCAGAAATAGTGTTTGGCCCAGACTCGTAGTGTGCCCCTAAAGCCCAAAATAACCTGTTTTCACTTTTCTTTGTTCTAACATTTCAAGACTTCACATACTACTGAACAGAGTGTGCAATCACAAATTATCAGTGTGCACATCATCCTGCTTAGAGAAGACAATTAAATGAAGCTTTCATTAACATTTACAAAGCCAAACCTCCTCATTAGAAGTGAGGAAGAAAAGGGCATGATATAATTTAATTAAGATTTCATCAAACCATAGGCAAATTTGAAGCCAGACAGTTGTGAACTCTAAGTAGCATTATTATGTCATGATTTTCTAATGCTCTGCTGTGATACAAGAAGAATAGCAGCAATGATTGCTTTTTTTCTCAGGATTCTCAAGGAACATCTTGGGGAACAGGAGGTTTCCATCTCGTTGATTCTTGACTCTGTGGAAGAGGCAGACCTGGGTAATTACTCGTGTTATGTCGAGAATGGGAATGGACGCCGACATGCCAGTATTCTCCTACATAAAAGGGGTAAATATGCAACTTTCCTCCGTGCAACGGTGCATTATAGAGGCAGTCAGTTTGTAGAGTTTCTTTCTGATGCAAGTCTGAATTTGGGCTTCCTGAGATATTAGGCAATGATTATTTTTCCACAGGCATTTGTACAATATTCAAAATAAAACAGAAAGCTTAATGTTAACTAAGGCTGTCCTTGGGAAAAATACAGTAACAACTTTCAATATCTATATAAAAGATTCATTTAATAATTAATGAACTTTAATGAAGGCTCAATAGAGAAAAAAATAGGAGCCCACAGTTAATAGAATTGTCATAATTTCCTATTAAAAAAATGAAATAAAGTATTAGAAAAGCCAACAAAAATACTTTGCAAGTCCATCAGAAATACCACCTTAACACAACACCAGGGTACTTCCTGCATAACCTGACTGTGGACGTTTTCCTTCTAACCTTTTTGTTCAACACCAACATTTCTGAAGTGAACTATCATGGCAGAAACTTCTAAGGACCTTCCTGTTTCTACTCACCACTCATATCCCATCATTTCAGCCTGCCTAGTGGCCACAGCGATGTCCCACAGAGATAATTATGGAGAGGTGGAGCAAAGCAAGATTCCCAGATCCATTTTGTTCACTCCCAGAGCGTGCTCCACATGCCTGGACTTAACACACCCCACCCTTATGCAACATCCTGTTGACTTAAGAGACCAAAGAATAATCAGGAGGAGTGTCTGTACTTCTCTGTCATTACTGTGCTTTCTTTAGACTGCTTATAAAGGTGAGCAAACCAGGTTCTTACTGTGGTGCTGAATTACTTATGGCATCTCAATTTTTATCAAAGCAATGACATCTTGTCTAGTTTTAGTCTTGTAGCATGCAAAGTCTGTCTAAGTTCAAAAAGAAACCATAAATCAAGGTAATGAGACTAACTTATTTGAACAATTTTGTGTGGCTCCACTTACTTGAACAGATATAATTTTTAGCCATTTTTCTGAATTCGCATCATTGCTTCTTAAGAGATGCAGATGTAAACAACCAGATGTTCTACGCCTGTCATTTTCTATGTTTTCCTAAATTTACTGAGATGAGAAATTAACTGAACGTCAACAATTTACCAACTAGTAGTCATCAGCTGAGACATTTGAACCTAGAGCAAGAGCTTAAGCTAAAAACACTGAAATCTAATGATTTGTCTTTAATAACAAAATTAGTGCACAGAATACTGAAAATACAGAATTTTTAAAGCTTAAATTACTTTAAAACATATACTTAATTAACTGATATGTATTAAGTCATATACTGATGATGCATCTTATTTCGCCTTCCATACAAACAAGAGCTCCAAGACTGACAACACATAAATCTTTTCTGTTCTGTGACCATCAGCTTTTTAATCTGGCAGCATAATCTAACTGTGTATGCATAAATTTTGCAAGGGTCTACTTTCCTTCTTCCTTTCTTGGAGAAATCAGTGTGTCAAACACATCACAGTATGCGACCACATGATAAAACACTTAAGAGGACGTAATCTCAATATTTAATTGCCCTTACAAATAGTAAAAAGCTAAAAATAGCAAGAACTCCCCCAGCTGTTTTTTTTTCTTCCTCTTCAAGTAAGACTGAAATTGTGATTTAGACACAAAATCTGTTGTGCTCTCAAAGAACAAAAGGTACCTGATACAAGCATGCTACATACTTTGCATGTTGACAACTGTTCCAGTGAAATGATAAATAAACCATGACAGATAAAAATTTGAGCTAGTCTGTCAGGTCTCCTAGGAACAGGAGATTTGTACTGCTTGCTTAGCCTCCTGTTATATCACCATGACAACATTTTGTTTTACATTTCCTTGTGTAGATCCACCTTAAGTCTCTGCTAGGAATGAGTTAGCTGTTTATTAATTTTGGATTATTAGCTCACATAGAACAATTGGGATGTAACAGTTAGGTAAATTTGCTTCCTGAACAGTGAGGCATTTACAGACATATTATTTTTGGCTAGTTTTCTAGTTACTGATCTTTTTTCCCAGCAATGTAACCCAACAAAAATGCTGAATCTGGAATGTTCACTGGATATTTGAAAAATAAATTATAATCCTGCTTAAACTTCATATGTGGTACATTATCACCAGGATCAGAAGGTTCAGGAAAACAGAAATCTCTGTTACTGAACAAAGAGGTATTTAGGGCTCAATACTGCAGTGGGGATTCACATACAAAATTTAAGCTTTTCAAACACCCTTGAAACTTCTGCTTCAGCCCTACTCAGTATATTCTGTGTAAACGTCTAGGGAGAGATTTTGGATATACCTGCAATCACATAGGCCCTGAAAAGGCAAGAAGTTCAGAGTCTAAATCACTGGCAAAAACCTGGATCTATCTTCTTCACTCGTTTTGCTAGTCAGCCCAGCAAGGACACACACATCTCATAGCAAACACAAGCAGGTTCCATCAGATGCTGCTCCCCACCATAAACCTACATCTGCCACATTCAGCTGGAGACAGGGGGCTTCGGCGTTTTCCCTAACATGGCACTGGAATGGAAAAGTGGAGCCTCCCCTTTCCCAGGAGGGTTTTCATGAGGGGGACAGAACACAGCTCCCCTGGGCTTCAGCACCAAGTGTGCCAGAAAAACAAACCAGGTTTGGCCGTTCAGCACTGGGAACAAGCTGGGGTCACTGGCACCTCCCTGTAGCCCAAATGCCAGCATTCTGCATCTCAGGGAGCTAAGCGCAAATTTTGTCTTGAGCTTCTTTTACTTGTTTTTGCTAGTGGAGAAAACCTATAATCTATGTTTTTATGCAGCCAGATAACCAGTTTTAGACTCCCAGCTTCCCTCAGTTGCTGTGCAAAGGAGCATTTAACTCAGGGCTAAGGACAGTACAGCATTTTAAGCATGACAATGCCAATGCTGTTTTCCTTTTCTGGTCCACTCCTACAAAATTTGGCCAAAAACAGTGAGATGGATCAGAACCCAGGAGATTTAACTTTCGTTCTCTTCCTCCAGTTATTGGCTAAATCTCTGTCACCTTTACAATAATCAAGTTGTTTTCTCTTTTGTGTGAGAAAAAAAAAATATCTACTTGTTATAATGTACGGCTGATTTTGTTACTCTTTTAGGATAGCTATCATCTATCACCTGTAGCAGTTACAGGTTAATCTTCAGCCAGGTAGAGGAACATTCTAGATATTAATTTTGAAAGTGGTACTAACAGCATCTAAGCCAAATTTATTAATGACAGACCCACATATTGCAGATGATATAAGAAGTGGATTACATACTATAATTCTATTTTTTCGCAGGTTTCTAATTCAAGAGGCCAAGCTCATAGTCTATCAGTGTGGTAGCTAAAGATGTAATGCAGAAGGAGAAAGAATGCTCTTCTACAATGTTATGTATTGAAAAGTATGACTTTTGATGCTAGATCAAAGCCTTTGTAGTCTCTTTTAATCATAGATTATACTGGAAATACAAACTGTTACCTAATTATGTTATTATTTTTGTGGAAATTCTTGTCTCTATGACCACAACTAAAACTCTAAATCAAACATAATGTCAAATTCTGTCTTGGCACTGTTTTTTTTTTTTAATGTTATTGATGTTATTTTAAAAGCTTAATAATATAACTATATTTTTCATGGGACAGACACCAGAACTAAGAGCAGGTAACATACTTTATACATTTTTTTTTCAAATATTCTCCTTCCCTTTCTTCCTATTTTGTCAGTGCTGTCTGTTTTCCTGTCCTGGGCCTTTTTTACGTTTTGAGTTTGTTTTCCTCTGTCATAGATGTGCTCAATGGGCATATATGAGTCTTGTTGACTCAAAGCTAATGAAGGATGATTAAAAGAACTTGCTTTGCTGTTGGAGGAAAAAAAAATTACTTTCACTGAAATAAATTGTTTAGAGGAAGATATTTATTCTATTTGAAATCACCCATAGGAACATATGTTTGAAAAAGAAACAAGCTAATATTTCCTATAGGAAATGCATCTTGAGAAAGCCTACAAATAGGCAGGCATACTTTAAAGTCATCATTTATTAATGTGCAAATATAATATTAATATTTCCTGTACAAATTCATAGCAAGTTCTGAATAGCAAGTGATTCTGAATTTTCTGAATTTGAAAATTCTGAATTTGATCAGACTACTACAGCCTGACAAAAACTTTCATAAGACCATTTTCTTCATCAGTAAGGTTTTTTTGATCCCTTATAAAATTTGACTATGACACTTCCAGCAAAAATATCGGTCATATTAATTAGCATGTGCCTAAACTTTCCTCTGACAGTGTCAAACAAGTTGGTTTCTTTAACAGATATCTTTTTAACACAACTTTTGTACCACTTTTGTCATAGTTCTCTTTATATAATGTCAAAGTGCAATTATAACCTTGATTGGCAAGGATAAAACTATTTTAAATTAAAATGTCGCAAATTGTTTCCATAATCCATGCAGAGCTAAATTATTCATTAATGCTATCCTCAAAAAAAAAAAAATGTAAACAGTATGTTTTATGATCTTACATCCTTGGAACTTGGTACTCCATTTTTCTTCACATTTTAGCATGTCCCAATGCTTCTTGCATTCCTATCTTTCAGAAGATCTAAAAGAAGTAATTGTGTGGGCTGTCTGATTTCTCTAGTGCAATAAGCAAACAGAAGCTCTCCTAATCAGCAAGGTTTTAAGTCATACGCAATTCATTTATTTGGGGAAACTAACCTGAGATGAATGCAACTGTACACCATGACACATTTTGCTTCAATGTGAAGTATAAAATTCCTTTAAAATGCAGTTTTCTGTATTTAAATGGCTTAAACGTCAGCAACATTACAGCATCTGTATTTTATCCTCTTTTGAGCTAACATACTGTCAGAGATAGTCAGTGTAATTATTCGCCTGCTGGGAACAGGTATTCCACAGTTCTTAGAAGAAGTAAAAATGTCATCAGTAAGAATATACTTCTATTATAATAATTTACTGTCTCTGTTCTAATAACAGTGGAAATCCAACAGCACCAAGGTTCAGATATGCTGCCTGCATATGAATAAGTTAACAAGCTCCTTGTCTTGTATTTGAACATATACATAAATATAATCCTGAACCCAAATGGTTTTTTTCTTTTCATATGTGAATAAAGAATATGTATTATACTTTGATCTAAAACATAAAGTGAGGTAACTAGGTCTCAATAGCTTTAAGAAACTACTGCAATGGAAACCGTATTATTATTGTCCTACAATATACAACAGTAATTATTTACAAGTGTATCCATAAAGCCATCTAGGTACCTTAAATACAAACAGATTTATTTTGGTACATTAAAAAATAAAATCCTAAAAAGAGAGGAATAGACTTTATATATAGAGAGAGAGAGACAGATTTTTTAATGTATGCATATATATATGTGCTATACTTGGGAAAGATAAATTGTTTTACAGCCATGCCCTAATGAATGCTGAATATAAGAGGGAGGGAAAAAAAAAAATAATAAAAAAAAAATAAAAGCACAGACTTCTCAATTTTTAAACTGTGAATTTTTTTTTTTTTTTTACTTCCTAACCTAAACTCTGCCTACTGTTTACTGCTAATGTCTGAAATGAGTCTCAGACAACTATTCCTCTGTTAGCCAGCCTCCTTCTTCCTTTTGGAGAAAATCATCCATTTATAACCAAAGCTGTGTGTTATGACAAGTCAGTCTTGTGCTAGTTCACAGTATCTGCCTTCCTTAACTTCTCCCAGGTGTCATCACAAAAGCTTTAGTCTAGTCTTAACTGCTGCTCCCCTTCCAAATTATATTCATTACCCTTATGTTTCATTTAATAATTGAAGTCTATGAAAGTATACCTACACAAGCTGAGAACTTTCTGTAACCAAACCTTGTAGCTTTGTGAGTTAAATTGTTCCAGACTAGCGAATGGAAATTAGTTTAGGCCACAAAGTGGCAAAGATTTATGTATGTGCTAACCTGAAGCTCTGTGAATAGTCCTGTTGATTTCAGAGGGATTACTTATAATCCATGAAGTTAAGCAATCTGCTAAGTGACTGCAAAATTGAAACCTTAGATAGACTGTAATTGGATTCTGAAAAAGGCTCAGAAATTGAATACACAGCTATAAATCACATATCCTTGAAGAGTTATAAATCACCAAGAAAAGAATGTTTGAAATATAATTATTTTTCTTAGCAACACAGCTGCATGTGGACTAATGAATAGCATAAGATTAATTTTAAATTATCACAGATCATTTAATGTAACGTCTCTGAAGCATGTTGTATGAGTCAAGAGATATGAATCTTTGAAGCACCTTTTTATTTACTTTCTTGTTACTAATCCAGCTACGATAAGTAAATTACCTGCATGATACAGTGAAATGAAGATTATCAGATATTAAAGCCAGATGAAGATCAAAGATATATCCTACAAATATGCCTAATAATTAGTATAGAATCAATATAAAATGAGTGCATTTATTACCAGCCATATCATGCCAGATATTTGAAGAGGATACATACTTTGTTTTAATTACCTGTCTCTTTCACGGGGTTACTTGGCCAAAGCCTCCTAATAAGGAAAAAAAAAAAAATTGTAGCTATTGGTCAAAGTGCTTGTAAAAAATCTTATTTTAAATTGAAGCTATTTATTCAGAAACCAATCTACTACTGCTGCAGTAATCAATGTGTTTTCCCTTGGAGTAGAATTGTTCCTGTGCTACTGGAGGACTATTTTTAATTGCCTGTAACTAAATGATTGCTGTGCTTCTAGATGTAACTTCCTGGCACTCGTTCATTTGTTGTGTTTAACAGAAAGCTTGCCCCCTAAGGGTTAGCCTAGTAATTTTCCTCTACTATTTTCTACATTCAGTTTGAGATCCTTAAGGAGGGCCAGGTCTGTAATTTGAGCAACACAACACAGAAGCTAAATAGATTTTAAAAGGTTTGCACTTCTCATCTCTTCCCTCTGATGTGGAATTGTGCTGAAATTGAATCTTTTTTAGCATGTAGCCACTATAGGAAACTTGAATTTGAGC